TTACAACCAAACTATAACACACAACAACCAATATCAGTATACAATTAACCAAGGTATATCAAAACACATAAGTACCAAAAAGAACATTAAGTTATATTGAGAACCTTCTTGTTTTATAAATTATAAGTATGTTAAAAAGTACAATTATAATAATTACCTACTTACGTACTATGATTGAGCGAGCGAAAGATTTTCACACTCAAGCATCATCAATTACATTCTAACATCCAGTCAAGGCAATTGTTACCCTTCTAGCCAATGGAAAGTCTATAATTTGGTGGTATATACCGAGAGATCTTAAGATGTAAGTTATTAAAGTTTGGCCCCGCAAATAGTACCTTCTTTCTAACGGTTGTAGAGTACCGTTGTTCAAATCTTTTTATTCTTCAAACGAAAGCACTGCAGTCACGTTTCTCAATCTTTTCTTCATTTTACCGTCTCGTTTTTTTAGGACTGTCATTTGTGTTCTATAATGGAGTGGTGACGTAATATATTATAAAAACGTGAACGTGAAAACTTTTCTTACGCGATTACATTACCTATTTATTGCTTTAAAATACTGAATAGACCAATTACAATAAAAGTAAAGCTTTGATTATATACATGTTTAATTATACTCAAAGGATTAGATGTTATCTTTGCTAGACGAATTGTTTTAAAACCGTTAACATGATACGGCGGAATGAAATTTTAAAAACATTAAATAAAAAATGACGCCACTGTGTCTATAATTCAATTCAATCGAGAGACTATTATTTACACGAGTAGTTCGTTACAAATAGGTCCCCAAAAGATTTAAGGAACCTTAATAAAACGCAGGTTTCATAAGAATAATGTATCAATCAATAAAACATGTATAAAATTTGATTTATTAAATTAATTAGTAAGTCGCGCGTGATTTAACTTTGTTTGCTTGGCTTGCGATTTTACTTCTTTACATGATATCTCTTGTATTTTATACTTTTAACCTTACATTTTGTAAGTATTGTTATGCCACTTAATATTAAAAATAACGGTATGAAATATTTTTGATTTAATTTTTATGCAGAGCTGCACAAAGTACCTTCGGAAAATATAAATGAGGGTAATAAACTTTTGGTCACCCATCCGGTACACAACATTTGCGGAAGTTGTCTAACCTCCGAAATCATATTCCATGCACGTTTATCAGTCTGTCATCACATACCGCCTTTGAATGGTATGAATATTTTAAATAAATTTAGCTACTAAGTTGCCAGTGGAAGTTGTATTATTTTATATTTTTTTGCATCGAATTGGCTTCGAAATCACCATGCCAATTATGTTAATGTTTACATTAAAAACGCATCTCAATAGAATCTTAACGACTATCTACATAAAGTCAAGTATTATTAGTGCAATATCTTTCTCACACGTCAATGGTGACAGATATACCTATATTAATAATAGACTTCAGACAGAAATACAGTAGCAAAATGTAAGTAGTTGAGATTATATTGAGATGCGATTATCATATAAACATCAGCCCAATAGACCTATTGGACCTATTCTAAAAAGTCTTCAACCTACAGGAAGCTATATCATTCGCGGGTCACATAGGCTAAATTACGCAGGCGACGTCGCGAGAAATCAGCTAGTAGATTAATTATTGAAACCACCGCTATTATTTCATATGATTAAAAAAGGCTTTTAAATTATATAAAGTATGATTTCAACAAAGCTTTGCCATTTTTATATTATTAATCGAGAACTACGAATGAGAGCTAATAAAGGAGGACGTGCCTTCCGAAGGACGTAGGAGATGACAAAAATAATTGTTCACCCACCCTAAAACCAGCCCATGGGAAAGTTGCTTAACTTTCGCATTGCAGACCCGAACGCGCCATCGAGCTATTCTGAGCTGAGTGTGACTAATTTGCTCGAATAGTGGTTCAATTTGCCACTATGGGTTATAGGAAACTCGCCATAAATAACTCACCGAAAAAACATTTGTAGTGTCAACTCGCCACAGATATTTTAAAAATCAAATTGCTTTACATTATTTTGGTTTATTGCACATCACTTATATTTACTCTTTTAAATAAGTACACCTACGCTTTACATATCGATATCGCAATTATTATCTAAAATATATACCTAAATTAATGATTTTCTAAAAACTTGAATTTACACATGTCTTTTTAAAAAAGACATGAAAAGACATGTGTAAATTCAAGTTTTTAGAAAATCATTAATTTAGGTATATATTTTAGATAATAATTGCGATATCGATATGTAAAGCGTAGGTGTACTTATTTAAAAAAGTGATGTGCAATAAACCAAAATAATGTAAAGCAATTTGATTTTTTATAACTTTTATTTATAACTTTTAAAATATAACTCTTAGAAAAATATGACTTATAGCTTTTGTTGCAAATTTATAAATACATATTATGTGAAAACCTATTTTATAAAACAAATTATATGTACGCCAGAACACATTGTCGACTTTGTTGTGTTCAGAAAAGATTAACTTTTCGAATTCCCAAATAGTATATAAAATGATCAATTTGACACAAATATATTTAAAAGTCAACTTAAGCAAAAATAAAGAGCTATTTTTATACAGTTTAATCCATATTTCTGCAAGTAAATCACACTTTTGTCTAAAAATTATATGTTGTAAACATAAACATATTTATATGTTGTATTGGGTTATCTTGGGTGTCTGTCTAGCATGTCCACTAACGGAACATTAAATACTCTGCTACTGAGATGATTAATACCAATTACACTTAAATAATATTCTTATGAAAGTATTGATAATTACATATTGCATGCTAGAATGCAATTTATCCACAAGGGTATTGGCCGCAGAAAGTTTCAGATTGTAATCTTTGTATCATATTTTAAGAGGAATGGCATCTTTGGAATTTTAATTTCTGTCTTATAATAATAGATCTTTTTCTGTATTATCAGATGTATATATATCATCGTAAAATAAATATCAGCCATCTAAATTATAATAAGTGAACACGTCTCAATTTGACGTTACTTTTCTGTCATTGCCAATTTGCGGTCAATAGTTTAAACCACATACTAACCTTAGTCGTCGTTTTATAATAAGACATGAAAGTTTATAATTTATATCGTTAGATTTAAAGCTATCGTAGGATTAGATTAATTTGGCGGAATGTCGCTTGAAGTGGTATTCGGTCTGTTCGTGCGCTTGGCCTACCGTACAGAGGATGGTCGATGGGTTTTAGGGGTGTGAACCTCTGGTGGTGCAGCGTGGCCTTATCTGGAGACCAAATGGAGGCCTATACATTAAGGGCCTATGTACCTCGTGGGTGCCTGATTCGGCGATAGCTACGCCTTTTTTTATGTAATAGGGGGCAGTCGAGCAGGCGGATCACCTGATGGTGAGTGATTACCGCCGCCCATGGACACCTGCAACACCAGAGGAGCTACAAGTGCGCTGCCGGCCTTTGAGGGACGAGTAAGCTCTACGCCTGAAAGTTTGAAGGTCGTATCGGTCCGGAAATACCGCTGGCGACAAACTGTTCCAGAGTTTGGCTGTGCGAGGCAGAAAACTTCTAGAGAAACGCACAGTTGAGGACTCCCAACCATCCACATGATGGGCGTGGACTTCTTGTCGTGTGGAACGATGGCGATACGCCTCTGATACATCTGCTCTTTGAGTAGCCCTTTACCTCGTCATCCCACGCGGGGTATGCGTACCGCATTTCTTATCGTAAAAAAAGGTTAGATTAGGTTTTAATACTTCTAATAAGGTTATAAACTGACGATGATTAAGCATACATTATCGGAATTATTTATTTAATGTTCTTTAATATAGATACTTTTTAATAAACAATTGTTTCTAAATATTGCATAGGCAAATGAAATGAAATGAAAATGTTTTTATTCAAGTAAGCTTGTTACAAGGACTTTATGAATCGTCCAAAAATATTTTTTCCCCTACCACTTGTTCAGGACGTCTTTTAGCTGACAAGAAGAACAAGCGAAAGAAACTTACCAGCTTTTTATCATAAGTAATGACATTTACATAAATCATGTCATTACCAAAATAGTACATATATTGAACAATAATAAATACAAGTTTCAAAGTCTGTAGGACATAGGTTGGTACATACCTATAATTAATCGTTATAGAATAAAAAATGCTTATGATTTTTGATTAAAAAGTTAATTACTCTTATTATTTTTCAAAATTTTCGAATACCATTTTCAAGTAATATTTGGCATTGTAAAATATAATAATAATAAAAAAAAACAATTTATTTTTATAAAAATCCATTTTATAAAAGGCCTGTTAAACTTGCAAATAGCCTAAATTTGTCGTCAATTTCAAATATGTATGATTTTATATATTTTTAATCATAGCGAGGGCAAAATGTGCTTCAATATTATAAAGTCAAGCCCTGCGGAAAACTCGAAATCTGATCTTATTTCTATGAATTCCCATTACGCTAAGAAGGGCGTATGTTGAGTCTAATCAAAACGTTATCATTACTACGGTTAAAATTGGACTATGCGTTATACGCAGTATATAATATATATATTTTTTAATTTATTACTAAAACCAAAACGCGACATTTGTTTGTTACAATATCTTATATTATTTTATTTATACATGCATTCATAAAAACGACTAAAAATGGCGGGAATTGGGCATTAGGCCTATATAATTTTGATGTAGGATTCTTTAACTGTTCCATTACCTAAACTATGTTTGGTGATAGCATTATTATTTTATGCTATTTTAGGGTCTCTGAATTAACGAAAATGTTAAAATTAATCTTATCAGTAATATATGTAAAGTGTTTCATTGATTAAAATAGCCTGTACCATCCTTCCAATATAAAGGTTTTGTTTATTTTTTCTGTCACTGTGAAATTCACTATAAAACGTTTACATGAAATCACTGGTACAGACTACCTTTGAAATCACTGCTGTCATCCTAAAACGTTTTTCACAAACACTACACAGAGGGGTGGTAATAAAAATAAAAAAATCACCTTTGTAATTGAAAACCAAGTCACACTCCAAATTTTCAACGATGGAAACACTGGCACTTGAACGCAACGTGTTTGATTCTTTTTACGAGATACCGTTGCGAATGAAAAAAAAAAATGAAATGCGAATTTCAAAATGGAACGGTTCCCGTGGCGCGGTCGGACGCGCTCTTTCGAATGCGCTCGATTCAGCACCGCGCGCACTTTTTATTATTTCGTCATGCGGCATGAACGCGAATGCATCATGCATTTTGGGGGGAGTTTTTGGTCACAAGAAGTTTTCTTCAAACTGGACCACGAACGTGTCGTCGTCGTCACGCCACTGTTGTGATGGCATGAAATGCCGCTTGCGTGTAATCGTAGTCGAATAATTAATATTACATTCGGACATACGTTTCGCGCTCTAAATTCAACTGTGTACTTCGTTATTTTTGTTGAAGTTGTGTCTAACTGAAGTGGTTAATGTTAGATTTAAAATATATTTTTGGTAAAATGATCGTTAATACAATTATTCAGGAATTTAATCCTTATCATTAAATTTATTTGATAATTTAGTTTTGTAATCGAATATTCCCTACTTTTCGTGAAAGCATAGGAATCTTTAATACAGTCATAATATTATAAATAATTAGCTTAATACACTAATGATCATCATCATCAGTCTTTTTACGTCCCAACTGCAGGGGCTCAGGAATTCCCTATGGATGGTAAAGAAGGATGGGCCATAACCCTCTACGCTGGCCCAATGAGGATTGGAAGGTATTAACGATTGCAAATGCAGCCGGCATTAACGGCTAAACGTGCCTTGTGAAGCACGGAGTAGCTCGAGATAATATTTTTTTTGCGACCCTTGCGAAAGTTGCTTAACAACTACGATCGCGGACCGCGGCGCTTATCCACTACGCCACGAGATACTGAGCTGAGATATAATAAATCCTATAAAATAAAAATACTGAAGATACAGTTCCAACCATTTTGTTTAATAAGATTGTAAATAATTTTCTTTGCGGAATTAAATACTGTAGAAAATCTTCACTGGGTTTTCAATCGCTGGTATTGTTTGATACAAATAAAACTAAGAAATTTCTTTTTCTAATATATGCATATCAAAAAGCTCGTATGAGAGTACCTTAAAATTGTATAATAAACGAAACAGTTATATACTGTAACGATTTCCCTTGTCTTGTTGATAAAGCCTCGATAGCGCTTATCAGATTTTTACTTATCTCATTTAGGTTTTAACGCACACATTTTTAATTTTTTGTTTATATTATTAACGCACTCCATCATAGATTAGATACTAAGTACGATTACACTTTTAACATTGATGATAGGCGATATGTGACGGATCGATAATGTATATGTTTGTGACAAAATACGATCGTTTTGGGAATAGCGCCTAGATTCCACAGAATCATAAATCTGTTCGCGCTATCGCTAATCTATGTTAAAGTACTTGTTAAGCAAATTACAATAAGTTATCATTTGGCAACAGTTGGATGACTGTAAAGTATAACCGTCCAAGTTTCACTAGTTAAAGTTACTTTTTTAAAAGCTATTATGATTATATCACTTAGCTATTTATTACTATTTATTTATTTATTAAAATGTACAAAACAGGTGACAACCAGGTGAAAATACAAAATAATAGCATGTTTTACAATTATCAACGTTGCGACCCTTCACAATAAAAAAAAAATTAAACAAAAACATACATCTTTATACTTCAATAACTATTATAACTTGAATAACATAGCTAAGTCACTAAATATAAAAAAAAGAAAAAATAACACCAATGCGTTAATAAGCTTTCTCTTAAAAGTTAATGTATTATAGTTGTAAATATCAATATACGATCTATTACCAAAGAGACACAAAAACGCTGTTATTTAAGGAATATGTTTATATTTCTAAGGTGACACATAATAACAGAATAATATCACATAACACTAGATATTTGTAAGCGACTTCGCCCGAGTAAATTATATATACTATGTCACCCGCGTACCTATGGTGTGGTGTCCCATAAGTGAAAGAATTAAAATGATCTCATGTTAAAAGTATTTCCGAAGTTAACCGCTTATAAACAAACAAACATAGTAAGAAAAACTATTCGTATAGATACCTAGTGAGGGATAAACTGATTTGGGTTTTTTTTGCTTAGAAAGCCTATTTAATGCAAACAAATAAATAGTTATAAATTGCCTCAAGCGTGGCTGGTATACATCTACATCCCATCTTCTTTATTAATGTTATCTCTCTCCATCCACTAATTGCCTGGAAGAAATCGCTTCAAGCAATAAGATTGTCAATCATTACAAAATAATGTTTATCTTTAAGTTTGTAACAATAAAGAAATTTGTATTGTATTGTAACCAAATTTTTCCTCTGTAAGATATAGGTAGTTTGAAATAAAATATTTTGATTTAGTTTTTCTATTTAGAGTGTAGTTCAATGGTTCACCAATATGTCTTTAAAAATAATATTATTTGCATTATAGGCATAGAAACTTACGACTTAGTTAAAAAAAATTAGCAATGTAATGCTATCATCTAATAATAGCTATAATTGTAACGCGGAAAGTGTGTTCTAAATGACTGTAAGGAACATTAACAAATCAGGATTACGAAATAACAAGAAAACGTTTTGAAATGTGGTGTCTGCAAGAATTTGTTCATAAACATAAAAGTGCTTCGGTTGGAAAATCACTAACGACTATATCCGAATCTGGAACTATTCGCGACTCGTTGGTTGTGATTAGAGGCCAATCATAAATTACGTTAGACGACGACATTTAGTCATTAAGGTCGACTCCATTAGAATAATGTTTATTAGAATTTGTATGGACAAACTGTGACTAATCATTTAACCCCAAATGATAAGTAATTCGTGTATCCCTTAGATATCTTATTATATTATGTAATTAACCTTTGTCTACTTTGCCTGAGTATATTTAACCTCAGGGAACCGTTTAGTTAATAAAAAGTAACCTATATTTTAATTCAGGCTTAACTTTATAATTATAACTGATTTCATCAAACTTCATTTCGTAGTTTTTGCGTGAAAAAGTAAAAAACATACATCCTCACAAACTTACGCATATTTCTAATATAAGTAGGATATAATCGCGAATTGAATTCTATAGTGGTGAGCGCATTCGTTCTGCGATGAGAAGTTTAAGGCCTCGTCTGGTATCCCTAAAATGGAATTTTAGTTATACTTTCATAGACTCCGTACGTATTCCATATTTGAATAATTTCCTTTAAAATAAAAAGAAATACGATAAGCGACCCCGTAAACCGCTTGAAATTCTAGTACTTAGTGATAATTTACGAATCCCCTATTAGGAAAAATATAACTCTCCTTAGCGATCTTTCTACCGGTGCCGTTGTAGATACCGCTACACATAATCGTATGATGATTCACCGTCAGCGGAGGCTACCCCTCTCACTGCTTAGTATAATCCGGTGCACGTTTCCATTGCACATTGAAAACGACGATAGTAATGTTATACAATTTACTACTACGGTATTTATTATCGCATATATAAAAAAAAAACAACTTAGGTGACTAAGACATTTTAACGCATAGCTATACAGCGTCGAACACAGAGCTGTCGCAGATGAAACTTTTTTTAATAAACGATTGTAATTTTAAACGTTAAATAATTTCGTTAATCACTATCACAGTCGCTAAACATTTAAAAAGGATTGCAATATATTTTGAAATTGGTCGATTAGACTAGAGGATGCTTTTATTAGTGTTAGTGATGAAACACGTACGCTACAAAGAGGAATCCTGCATATAATAAGGCAAAAACCTTACAACCTTATTTGAAAACTGAGCGAGGATTATAATACATTCTTGAATTTGTTAACCGCCTCTTTTATAGTTGTAGTTATTATATTAAATAAATTTTTGTTCATTTTTGATGGCGATATATGTTTTTGATTATTCTATTCTATAAATCACGTTGAAATTATACAGAAACAGCTGGATAATGAAGTATTTTTAAACATTTTAGTATAGAGATAGTCCGACAATAGAAGTAATAATATTTGGTATGAAGGTTTGTAGGTAATTTTTCTATTTAAAACTTTAAACGGGGAAATTGATTAAGATTCGGAAATAATAGGTTTTGTTGGCTAAATTTCACTTTTAACTGTAGTATGTATGTATGAAAAAATACTTTAAAAATGACTGTCCCAAGTGCTAAAAACGCAATATGATGTAAGCATCAAATTCAATAAATGTAAAAAAGAATATTGGTATTCCTTCATAAAAATTCCTAATAGAAGAAATTTGTAATTTGTCAATAAGTCCAAGAAATTTGTGATTGGAAATTAATTTCCTAATTCCATTTTAGAAATACCATTTCATATTTGATTTTTTCCTTTAATATAGCATCGTTAATACAAAATTTATTCAATCTAAGAAAGTCAGATGTATAAAATCATTCAATCACTCAGCAAGAAATAAAGAAAGCAAGATAGAAACTAACTAGTTAGGGGTTTTAAATTTACCATCGGTTTTTTTTAGGGCGCAGGTGCTCTCTTAAATGGGATTTTGGGAAATTTGACCCACAAAAGGTAGCACGCAAGCACCGGCCGCACGACACACAACGGATTAAAATTCCTATGACGTTATCAGCATAAAGCATAATTCAAGCGCCGATGTCAAAACTGTAATTTTTCATAGAAGCATCTTTCAAAAAGTGACTGCAGTGGACGTATGACATCGACAGATCCCTACAATGCGTTGCGTGTCGTGCGTGCGTACTGAGGCAGTAGAAAATAACATTAAGGCGTTGTTTTTGGGGGTGATAATATAGGGAAATAAAATAGACCGTTCTTGTTTAAATTCTTCGTTCCATGGAAATATACGATAACAAAAAGTTATTATGATTTCGACAGTACACCATGCCTGTCTAATGCCTGTGTTACGCAAAATTCATCGAGAAACAAAATAGTGCGTTTAGAAACGTCTCTGTCACACATAATAATATCAAATTGTAGAGTAAAAGAAGCAATTCAAGGTAGTGTTGTGAAACGTTTAATATAGTTTAGCACCTGCAGCGGAGACGTAAAAGAACTTATGATATATGCTGTAACATTTTGGTGACAACACCACGAGTACTCGACGTCGAGTT